GGGGCGCTGACTGTGACAGTGACAGCAACAATGGGGTGGTGGCTGAGAGGGGGGGCGGTGAGTGGCACACGACCGCCCGCCTCTTGGTGGGAGGCCCGAGGGGCAAGCATCCTGATTTCGTCGGCCAGTTTTTGTGATTCTCGAGAAGTATGGTGCTAAGATCAGCTGATGAGGCGGTCGCATGTCGTCCCTTACCCAGCTCTTGCACGGAAGAACGTGCCGTGTGGCAACATGTCTGGTGTTTAGCTCAGCGTGGCCGGAACTGATTGCTGGAGGCCCGCAAGAGAATGCAAAGTCCAATGCTTTAAATTCTTTTCTTTTTCTCTTCCAGTTGCTCGCTCTGTGTGCTACCGTTGCTGTCCTCCTGTGTGCTCCCTCCGGTCCGCATTTCCGGCTTGTGATCGACGCCTCCTTCGGCCAGGCAGCAATTCAAGCAGACGGGCCAGCCCTCGCCCCCCTCATTGTGCTGACGGAGGCCGCCCAGCAGAGTGGAGCGGTGTGCTTAGATGGCAGCCCCGCAGCCTACTACTTCCAGCCAGGCACAGGGGCAGGCGCACACAACTGGATCATCCACTTTGAAGGTGGGCAAGCACGTGCAGCGCCAAAGCTGTCGGGAATTTCAGGCTTACAACCTCTGATAAACGACAGGGGGGACGAATCTTGATGACTCCAGCTAGCCCGTCTGCTTGTAACGTTTGTGCCACTATAATGAAGGGATCCCCTTGATTCCTGGTTGTGATCAGCTGTGGGTCCTTGGCTTGCAAGCTTAGTCACTGGAAGATGGCGCTTCCTTTTCCCCCAAGGTCCCATCTTAATGCATTGACAAGTTTTAGTAGAGTGCTTAGAAACATGCGCTCCCTACTCAGTGCATGTGTCCCACAGCCTGCAGTGCAAGCTCCGTCTCATTAACGAGTTACCCCTGTGGTTGCCCACATGCAGGTGGGGGCTGGTGCACCAGCCTCGAAGACTGTGTGTTGCGAGCAGGGGATTCCCTAGGGTCCAGCCATGGGTGGCCACGCACACGCCATCTGACGGGTCACCTCAGCCGGGACCCCGCCGTCAACCCTGACCTGCACACCTGGAATGCCGCCTACCTGCCCTACTGCGACGGCGCCAGCTTTGCCGGCAATGTGTCCCAGCCGCAGAGCAGCGGGGGCCAGAGCGTCTTCTTCCGGGGGGCCGCCATCCTGGATGCAGTGCTGGCAGACCTGATGCACAGGGGCCTCCATACGGCGCAGCGGGTGCTCGTCACTGGCTGCTCGGCAGGGGGGCTGGCCGCCTACCTGCACTGTGACTACGTGGCAGCCAGGGTGGGAGGGGGCGCCGTGACCAAGTGCATGCCGGACGCGGGGTTCTTCATGGATGCCCCCGACGTGTGGGGGCAGCGCCGCATGGAGGGCCTGTTCCGGGCGGCGGTCGAGATGCACAACGTGTTGGGCAACGTGAACGAGGCGTGCGTGGCCGCGCTGCCGGCACGTGATGCCTGGAAGTGCTTCTACGCGCCGTACAGTGCGTCCTTTGTGCAGGCCCCGCTCTTCATTGTGAACCCCCTGTTTGACACGTGGCAGATTGCCAACCTTGTGCTCGGTGGCAGGGCAGCCCCGGAGTGGGACGGTTGCCGGTACTCGCTGGCCGGGTGCACGCGCGAGCAGGGTGCCGTGCTGCGCGCGTTTGCGGACCAGCTGGCGGCGCGAGCGCTGAGCACGCTGGCAGCGGCCAGCGGTGACGGCGCGTTCCTCTTCTCGTGCTTCCTGCACTGCCCCAACCTGGACAACGACGACTGGTGGCAGCAGCTGACCATAGGCGGCACCGCGCTGCGAGAAGCGGCGGCAGACTGGGTGCTAGACAGAGGCGGAGACCACTTCCATGTTGACAAGACAAGTGACTACGAACGGGGTACGAACCCGAGTTGCGGCATCAGTGTTTAGGTCGAGGTGGGTATCGACGTTACCTTTTGATAAGCACCGACAAAGGTTGCTGTGTACAGACTGGCTTGGATCAGCACACGGCAGCAATTCTTCCGATCCGTCACTAGCGGCAGGCCTGTTGCAAGAACGGGATATTTTGAGCAGCTCACAACAAAACGCTGATACCAACTTCTCCGACAGAAGCTTGCTGACGCCACGGCACTTAGCTGCATAAAGGCGATTGGTAGCGACTACGCTTACAGCTGTCTACCTCAATGACTATGGCCTCCGGCTTTGAGGCCTATTCGAAAATCTGGTGCAGCAGTCTCAAATTTGCTCTTCCAGCCTTTGCAAGCATCTATGATTGGAGCCCAACGTTTTCGCGGACTGTGGTTGTCGTGCAACTCACGTTCGTCTTTACAAGTAATGTAGGCTGGAAAGGGTTACCAAGAATGGCAAGCCCGGAAGATTTGCGCACCCCTCCTTGCATGGCAACCGCGTTTAATGTATGTGGCGCAAAGCATACATAGACAGATCAAAGTACATCATGGTTGGCACTAGTAAGTGGAAGTACATGGACGGTTGATTGAAAGGCGTACGCACATGGTGATTGTATAACTTCGTCCAACACTAAGTTCGTCATTAGCTGAAAACTTTATGTGCGACTCGACAGTATATGCAGGTTGTGTACCTGACGGTTGCGACTGGAGGAACTCTACATGACTTTTCAAAATCCGATCCTAGGTGCGGGCTACATCTGAGATGTACGTACTCTGCCGCAGCTTCATCGAGCTAGCCTGTAGAATCGCGGAAGGTCCATGCCCCACTCGCGCCTCCGACGCAATCATGTGTACGGTACCCGGCCGTTGTTCTTCAGTTGACTGGACCATTCACATGATTCAGTTGCGTGCCTCCTACATGGGCAGCAATAACAATGTATCCATCTAAAATATTGCAAAGAGCCCGCCGTAGTTCAGTGGTCCGTAAGCTAGTGCATGGATATACGTCCAGCAAGAATGTAGCTCGGCCTACCAAAAGCCTCTGCACTTGGGCTACATAGTAGTATCTCAAAAGATTTCGAAGAGGTCCTAACGTCCTTAATCTAGATTCTTAAAAGTCTGCAAAATTAGTACCAAATTACACGATCGGAGGCCACGCCACAATTTGTCCTCTACACAATGGCATGTTAATTAGGGACGAAAGTGTTGGCTTTCAGAAAGCCTCACTTCTGGCGGCGATAAGCATCCTCGTCCCAGGAAGTAACCCGTCCTCGAGCAGAATTCGATGTTTGAATTCATCGTTCGAGGCCAGTGGCTTTGTCAGAGGATCTTGACGCGTGCCAGTGGCTCTATATCGAGATACCCTGCATGACCTGCAGCCAGATTACGGCCTAAGATCAGCATCAAGAGGGTGCACCAGTCGAATCTCCAAGTCTCAGATTTGCTCGTGATGTCGTGATCTTCCCGACAATACCCTGTTCTGCTTGGTTGACGCAAGGGTGGAGTTTATTCAGATGGACGCGAGCCAAGTTTGAATCCATTGCCTTCTGCGTACCGCGGTCGTATGCCGAGCTGCTCTTATCGACACTGTACGACGCCGCAAGGCGGTGCCCGCACATCGAGGTGCTAATGAGGGCTGGCTCTCAAGCATAGACTGTCAACAGTACAGATGTCAACGATGACGATAGGTCGAAATCAAGAAGTACCGTATAAGTAGATGCAGTTTCCTTGGCGCGAAACTCATTCAGGGAAGACCGTCTCGAGTCGTCACTTGACCTGAACAATTTCAGAGTCCAAAGTGCAAGTCTGCCCATGCACGAAGCAGGATGCAGCTCTAGCGTCCATCGCAACACAAGAAGCAGCACCATAAGAACGCTTAGCTAGACTTTGATGTAGAGCAGGCGGCAGCGGAGGGCATAAGAAGGAAGCGCGGACGGCGGAAGAACGATGGCAGGCGGTCCCAGCTCCAGTGGCCTCATCGGAAATGGGCGGTGGGAGATGGGGGCCAGGATTGCTCGGCACGATGAGGTGAGGGGGAGGCTCGGGGGCAGAACAGATTGTGTCCTGAAAAGCATGCATCCTGCCTGTGGCGCAAAGAAAGCTTTGAAGTCTGCGAAGCTAGACTCGTACCTCCATTGATAGAGTAGAAGCGAAGTCCAGAAAATGAATATCGGGGACTTCGAAGCAGGGTCAAGCTCAGATGAGCAGCAGCATGCTCCTTTGTAGATTTTGGTGGCTCACGTTGAGGAGGGTCACACCTGCGAGCAATGGACCTCTATGCTGTTCAATGTTGTGCTTTCTCACTTTGGGGCCTGATCAACGGCGCCTGGAAAGCCATGAAAACCATTGAGAAGGCACTGCTAAAAGTGTGGCCATGCATGTCAGGGATTCACTCTGGAGAGGGATAAAACTAGATTATCCTTGGGAACACGATGCCTTTGTCAACAGGGGGGAATCCAAGGGATGTTCCACAAGTCTGACAACTCGTAGTGGACAGATTCAAGAAGGACCTGCAGAAAGAGCAAATTAACGGCCCGACGAAGTTTACCTTGGTATCTGCTCGCGCTCCACTTAGAAAGCTTCGAAGGCAATATTGGCTGTCGTAGGTAGCAATCCGCAAAGCCCCGTGACTTTCACTCTATTCTTTGATGTTTTGATTCTGACGCAGATTGCTGTGTACGCTGCTGAAACCCTAGAGACTGGAGAGATGGTAAGAACCTGCATCTATACTCCACTCTGCCCCTGCTCTCACCTCGAAACGATTACTTGCGCAGGACCTGCTCAATCTGAAGCAGATTGTATAGCTTCTCACAGATGCTGGGAGGGATTGCGCCTTCTTCGGATTGCTGTATCAAGAAAGATGTCACTCGGTCCCTGAGCAGCAAGAGCAGGCCTGAAAATTAGGGTTTGTTCGCAGGTGGCCATCAAGTTGGAGCCGGAGACGGCGCGTAACCCGCACCTGCTGCAAGAATACAAGAGCTACCGCAAGCTGGAGAAGGAGAACATGCGTGAGCGCCAAATACAGCTTCTCTTCCTTCTCTGCCCCTTGTTTCGTCACAACATGGCGAGTAGAGCGGAGGTGCACTGCGCCTTTAACAAGGAATATCCGTGCATCTTCGAAGAACACTTGTTTTGTTGCACGCCTTCCTTGGTTGGGAACCATGGGTTTGGGCGGCTGACCTCCTCGCTGCTGTGGTCTCATTGCTTCTCTGTGATGCAGCCGGCATTCCGAGGCCTCGAGCAGGGTGAGCAACGGACCCCGCGTCCTCTGTGTCTCTATTTGATCCAGCTTAAGTCAGAGATTCCGCAACATCAAAATTTTCTGCATTTGAGCTGAGACCAGCCTAGGGCAGAATCTCACGGCGGAGATTGCTTTTCCTTTTGGAATACCAGCCTAGGACACGAACATGTAATATGTCTCGCAGTTCGGACGGCTTGTGGTGTCAACCAAGCGTCTAGGGCTATTGCGGCTCGCCTCACCGTTTGGCCTGCTCCGTGGTCGCAGGTTCAGCGAGAAGGGCTACAACGTTCTGGTCATGGTCAGTGCGGCCCCCTGCCTCTCGCCGCGGCTCTTTCTTAACCTCAACTGCATTTTCTTCAATCCCCGAAGGGTTTAGAAGCCGCCTCGTGCAGCAAGCTGTCTGCCTGTAGATGAGCCCTCGTGCTGTCAATGCCATTGCCTATCGAAAACATGATTCGAAGCATCTTTTGATGGCACGGATTTCATTTTTAGCTCCAGAGCTCGATGCTGCTACCTGTTCGCGGCCGCGCTTGCACAAGGACAGCCTCTCCGTTGCTGAAGGGTGGGCGTGCGCTCGCAGGACTTGCTGGGCCCCACTCTGGAGGACCTGTGGATTCTGTGCAACAGGACGTTCACCCCGCGCACCGTCACCCTCCTTGCCGACCACCTCGTGAGCAATCGCCGCCCGACGCGTGCCAACCAGCTGCCGCCGAGGCGCAGGGCTCTGAGTCAGAAGTGTTTCGCCGATATTCTGCCCGTGCAGCCTGATCTGGAAAACCCATCAGGCACAAAGTGTTGTCTTCTGGAATCATCCTGGGCAGGGCTGGCAGACGTACCTCACAGTCCTCTGCAAAGAGTACTTTTGCTACTCAGGAAGCAGGTCGGAGGGGGAAGCCGCCAGTGACGCGGCTATCTTTCAAAAGTGACACCCTCCTCTCTGCTGGCTGGTGCAGATCACGCGCATTGAGGACTTGCACAGCCGGGGCTACGTCTGGAGGGGGGTTCGGCCGGACAACTTCTGGTAGGCCCTCCGCTGATACCGTCTCATGGCCTCGGATAGCCTGGCGCGAAGAAGCTTCCGCGCCTCTCAAATGATGTGGGACATCCACGGGGTGCAGATGTGACAGAAGCTGCTCATACCTCAAAATGTCGATCAAATGTGTCTCCATATGCCGTAGTCATCTTGCTTCTTGACGCTGCATCTGACTTTTTTGCAGCATGGGGCTTGGAGACAAGTGCTCGGAGGTGAGCAGCCCCTTCAAAAATCTCAAAACCCCCTTCGCAGGGTGTTCTCATCACTTCTGTACGTCATCGAGCACGCCGGACGAGTCTACTTTTTGACATTTTCTGAGGTCCACATGCAAAAAGGGACTTGGGGCTCGTAATTGGTTTGGGCGGTTCGAGTCATCAGTACATAAAGTATGATTCTTCTGTACAGGTGTTCATGATCGACCTGAGCCTGTGCACTCCGTTCCTGGACAAGACGGGCGCACACGTCGAGTACAAGTGAGGATGCCAGCAACTTCGAAGTGCCTTGCCGTTTTTTCTGGTACGAAAGGCCTCCAAGGCCTCATAGGATAAGGGAGTCGGATGCTTATTCGGATATTAGTGGTATAGGCTGATTAATCCCCGGAATGCATATTCCCGGTGGGCGCTTTTGGCACGTCTTACTGATGTGGGTTTGCTTCATGTGAATTTGCGGGTCGCGCGATCCTTCTCGACCTGAGAACGCGGCGCGGCGTGTGGCGCAGGGAGAACCTGTCCCCGGTCGGGTCCGCGTACTGGCTGTCCCAGAACGCGCACTTTGGCATCGAGCAGAGCCGGCGGGACGACCTCGAGTCGCTGGGCTACGTCCTGCTCTACTTCCTCAAGGGATGGTCAGAACCTCCCGCCTCATGCACCCAACGCCTTTGCTACGTCATAAACTAAACAATCCCGCGATTGCAAGCCAGCAGAGGAACACGCGTCCGAGCCAGTGCTTGATGAAGCCAAAGAACTGTTATCGATTAGGGGCTTCGAAGCCGCGTGGAAGTAAGGGCCCGTCAAGTTCTTGAAGACGCCTGTGATTTGTTGGTTTCTGTCTGTCTCTTTCCCCGCCCGTGTGCCGTGCTGCTGACCGCGGCCGGCGGCTGTGCAGGTTGCCGTGGCACGAGATCGACAGCGCGAAGCGGCACCTGCTGCTGGAGAAGGTGCAGAACAAAAAGGTGGAGACCACGCTCGAGGTGCGCGGACCCGTCTCACCGCTCGACTCCGTACCTCGGCTTAGACACGTTGTAGCTGTCACCAAATGTTGCTTTGCACCGATTCTAGTCGGTGGCGGCACTGAATTGTGTCCCAAAACAAAGGAGCTCTTCTGATCATAATCTTCGGTTCCAGAAGTTCGTATCATTTCGCTGCCTGCAGTCTTTCATGTCATTTATCTTTTTGCTCGCTGGCCGTGACTGACCGGTGCATTCGTCCCTGCACTTTTCCCGCAGGAGCTGTGCGAGGGCCAGCCGGAGGAGTATTTGACGTTCCTGGAGTACACACGCAGCCTGGAGTTCGACCAAAAGCCCGACTACGACTTCCTGCGCTCCCTCTTCCGCGACCTCGCAGACACCGAAGGTGAGAGCGCCAAAATGCGGAAAGAAAGACGTGGCCACTGTAAGCATGGCAGCCGTTCACTGGGAGATCCTTTCTTTCGCGTCTTCCTGAAAAGTGGCTACGGCCCGTATGTACCCAGGATGCTGTGTCTGTATTCTCAGACGGAGCAGCAGACCACTGCCAATGTTAATTGTGGGCTTTGCGCTCTGCACCGTCAAACTGGTAGCAGTATGTTGCTCGTCGTCTTCTGCTTGACCTTATTCCGTCAATTGCAGGCTGGAAGGCAGATGGCCTATTCGACTGGCACCACTTGGACGTCCTGAAGGAGGGCGCCATCCCCGCGCCCACACGCAAGGTCAGTCCACCGCACCGGGCTGCCATGCTGATTTTGCCGTTCGCCACCTGCTCAGATTCTTTGCCAACACGCTCTCGTTCAACACTCGAGAGGGGATCCGAGAGCAGAGGCGGCATTCCTTTCTCTACAGTTGGTGAGGAATCCAGGCTGTGTGGGGTGCTCGGCTGCTGATCCGTCCTATTGTTGTGCACGCAGACCCATTTCACGACCAAGGACCTGTCCAAGACCAAGCCCGTCTTCCTCAACCAAGCAGCAGGTAGGGGCGCCGTCGCCGCAAGCGGCTCCACGAATTTTGTTCCTTGTTGAGCCGCCTGTTCTTATGCAATCTGCACAATTGTAGCGGCCGTTGGCCTTGTCTTCTGTGCTCTGTTGCGCGCTTTCATGGCCGGGAAACATTAGACCATTCATTTCATAGAGCAGCGTAGGAACGTTTTCACCTGACTGCATATTTGAGCGCGAGGCGTTCTTTGACTTCCACCGCGGCCTTGTTGCAGAGACGTACTTGCTGCGCCGCTTCTTCGACGACTGCGCGCGCGTGTACGAGCGCTCCCCGAGCGGCCTGACGGACGAGGCGGGCGACCGCCACGTGTCGGGCCCGGTGCGCTACACCACCACCGTGGCCCCGCCGCCCCCCAACAAGCCGCGAGGCGCCCGCGAGAGGAAGGACGTCCCGCCCGCCAAGCCCGCCGCACCGCCACCGCAACCGGGACAGCCGAAGCGGAGGTGGGAAACCGTGGCCCCGGCCCCCCCAACGCCGCAGAGGGGGAACACGCCGCCCATTCTGGCAGCCCAGCGGGAGAGCACTCCACCTGGCCCGGCGCCCCAATGGGGAGGGACTCCACCCGTTTCGGCACTGCAGCGTGGGGGAACTCCGCCCGTCCAAGCAGCGCAGCGGGAGGAAACTCCGCCGGTCCCGGCATGGCCGCCGGCTGCGGCCGGTGTTGCCGAGGACGCGGAAAAGAAGGAGGACGGGAAGGACGAGATGACGGCAACGGAACGGTTCCTGCTCGAGAAGTTTGGGATCTGAGCATGGACTTAGAGAGGGGGCGAAGAAGTACGAGAGAGGGTTATAGTGCTGAGGAGATGTCTCAAGTTCGTTGGGTGACCCAGTACTTCAAACGCTGTTGCTTCTTGAAACTGCTTTGGATGCAGTATCATTATTGCCAGGGTCCTTTGAAAGTTTTGAAGGCATCCGTGTGCAGGTGTAGCTTTGCGCAACCGATCAGGTCCTGCTTGGAAGACTGTTCTTTTCTTACTTTTTTTGTTTGCTGTTCAATGTTCCGGCCGCTCGTTATGCTTGACATTTTTGAAACCGTGGCCAATCCATCTTGCGACCTCTAAGTCGAGTGGGTAAAACAAAAGCAAACTACAAATGAGACTACGCCATCGATGACGCGATTGTACACAGCTGGCTGCCTTAGATGCGAATGGCATGACGCATCCTGCAAGGCTGCTTGTTCGCATGCAGCAGACGAGTTGAGCGCCGGCTGCGAGTCATGCATCGTCATCATTCTACCCACAACCTCAAGCTGCATTGCGGCATGTCACTCGTCCATCATCGGATCCACTGAGTTTCTGCATTAAATACAGATCCTCAGATCAACTCCGAAGCGGACTAGGGTACCAGCCGCATGCATTATCGACTTAGCTGATAGTCCTAGCTTGTATTATAGACGGTTGCCACCACCCTGATCCCTGCGGCGTGCACATATAAATATCTGATATAGCGCGCTGTATTTGCACGTGCGAGGCAGTATTTCACGTGTTCATTCGGATTAAGGACAAGAACGAAATCAAGGAAAAAGACATCATTACGTACCTAGTTGTACTCATGTCAACATGACATGCGAACGCATTGATGCTGAAAGCTTTTTCGGCAAATACCGGGCGAATCAATCAAGGGGTCAATTCCGGCAGGCCCCGGGCTGGGAACTCGAAATAACAGCATGATCCGGATGTCGCCGTTACCCCTAACCCAGACGGACCCTAGCTGCGCTTGTACATGATTCCGGTACGTATAAGCATTTGAACTTGATCCAGAGGCGCCTCTGAACTCATTGTCCATGATACGTGTTGCGCATAATGACAAGATAAGCTGCCAAATTATGACGCAACCACTAATACCCTTGACTTTACATGGTGCAAGGGACTGACTTTCGCAACGAACATACTTGCCTTCGAAGGTACAAGAGTTCGAATAGGTCTTTCTTTCAAAAAAGTTGACTGTCTGTGTGTGTCTAATTTCTTGGTTCAAGAGGTGCAACTGCCATAGCCGCTCAATACGACGCTGGCAGTTGTTGTTAAGGTATTCGCGTCAAGATCTGCCCCTTATTTTATCGTGTTTATACAAGACTCGATCTGATTTCAAACCCGTTGCTTGTGGTGCAAAACCAACCAGACATGCTAAGCATTGGTCGCACAGCTGCAGCACGGGCCCTCAGGGCCTTCACCCCAGCCGGTCCAACCGGGGTAGTCCTCGTTCCGCCCAGCGGCGCGCCGCTCGTCTCCCTCGATTATCCATCGCGAATTCCGTTTGAGTCCGCTCGTCCATCGCGCGCTGCGGTTACACTCTTCCACATATACATATTCCCTCGGGGCCAGCTCGCATGTGACAAAGAGTCTATACACACATACCCTCTATATATAGGGAGGGTGTTGTTTTTTCCTAGCAACGATGCAGTAAGGATCGGCGCGGTGCTGCCGTCGCCAAAATGCACCGCGCCGATTGCGGGGTGTTGTTCATGTTGTTCTCGTTTCGCCGACTCGCACAGTCATACGTCTATACGTGTCAGCAACAACACTGAGATGTTCCAATCGACCATCCCGAAAAAAAGCCCGGTGACGGTCCGGACTCCGGGTGTTGTTGGATTGGATCAGTGGATCGTCGTGTGGGGCAACTTTGCGTGCTTAAGCTACCCCCCGGCACAACTCTAAGCCTGCGCAGGGGTACATTGAGCCTTGGGACTATGCACACCTAGCTACCTGGAGGCGGGTCTCCGGGTTTCTCTTTTAAAATGGAGCCCGGGTCTCGAAATTGACATCAGACACCCCCTTCGGGCTATGCACACTAGAACACTAGTCGGGGTCTCGCTGACGTGTCGGAGGGCCCGGGTAGATTGTTAAGATTGAAATTTTCTAGAATCCGAGTCCCGGCTTTTTGAATTGCATGGCCGGGTTTCGATCGAAACTTAATCGGGGTCTCGGTAACGTCACGGGGGAACGATCGACGCGCCAAACGTACTTTTGCGGGCTTCGATCGATCCGTGTACAAAATGTACACGGTTCTAGGTACACAACGCATTGAGGAGCGGAAACCCAACTCCCCGTTCAATTCTGTCAATTGCAAAACATTCCAATCACATGCTTTGCTCCTGATCCTTCTCGTGTGTGCGGACCGAGACAAACCGTTCTGCACTCCTACACTCTCGTCCACCATCAGTGATTATCCTTTGAATGATCATAAAACCAAGCAAAGTGTTTGGCAAAGGAAGGTGAACAGGCTGAATGAAAGTTGACATCCCTTTCATGCATGCCTTCCTCTCCTTTCACTCTCTGGATGCATGGCATAAATTCAACATGAGTTTGGCATGACACCTGGATGTGTGTTCAGTGCTATCAATTTGTAATGATTGATGCAGCTAAACATTCACTGGGCCTGGCTAACCGTCCAATTCTATTGCCGTCTTTATGTTTGTCCGGATTGGATAAATGACATCCGGGACCACTACTGTAGGACTAATCTAATCTGCTTATAGAAGGGGCTATGTTCTAGGGGCTCGGCTAGACCAAACTCAAGCATACGAATAAAAGCGGGAATACTCTCTGAAAGCTATATCATGCAGCAGCCAAGCATTCTGAACATTACATTACCTGGGTGAAAGATATGCAATTTTGGATGAGTTTTCCAGCCTTTCGGAGAGCTGAACAACGTTAATCAAGATTGCCGTGCCTGAAGGGTGTTGTATCATACTTCAGGCTTGGGGGGAAGAGAAGCACTTGGTCAATCTTCTGCCGGCACAGGATCTTCAGTGACGAAGCCAATCAGTAGAATAAAATTGTCTTCTGTAGATGCGGGCCTCCCACTCGCCAAAAGAGTCCCGGTCAAATTGCTGCAGCTGTCAGATCAGGATGTGTCGCGACACAAAGTTTGGCCCAGCCCCTTTCGAATGCTATTATCTCGTGCTTCGTCCGAGCTCTTCACTGATTGCTAACTTGTCTTTGCTAAGAGGTCTGTGCTTTTTGTGGCGCGAGAAGAGCTTTTTGCTGTGCGAAGCAATTTGGAAATGAAAAGCAAGCTTCTTGCAGCGTCAGCTTTTGCGCTTCGGCTATGAGTCCATCGATCTCGGGACCGACGACACCTGTACGAGTCCACCGAGCGCGGACAAAGAATCTCAGCCCTCAGACTTGCGCTTGACTCGCACCACACTGTGACGGTTGGCCAGCTTAAGCGAAGTGCTGGCAGGATAACGACGAAACACTAACGGCAGCCATGTGCAG